AAGATGAAAATCTCACACTTCTGGAGGATCTGACCCGACCAAGTTGCCATACCTCGTTAACACAACAATATGGACACCGGATTCATAAAAGTAGTTAATTCAGAGGTGGTTATATATAAAAGAAAGATTACAGTAAGGACATAGTACAGGAAGAAAGAATTAGGTCGTAGAAAGAAAGATATGAAGTGATTTTAATCTCTTAGTTTAAAGGGGTGACAGGTAGTCTGCATCTACCAACATGGCTCAGACTAGAAGTTAGTGATTCCAAGCACTGATGCTACGTTTTGGTTTGGCCGCACCTAACTTTCTTCCAACCATCCCCTACACCGGTTAGCATTCAAGTCGTGGTAATCGGTGTTCAGGCATACGTAACACGTGGCCCAACCATCTCAGTCGATGAAGATTCACAACCTCATCAACTGATTTACCATCATTCCCTAATACCCTGCGTCTAACCTCACTATTACTTACCCGGTGATCCCGACAGACGCCAGCAATATTTCTAAGGCATCTGTGGTCAAATACTAGTAGCTTACGAGTGTCTTCTACTCTTAAAGGCCATGTTTCGAACGTTAAAGCACATTTTCGGGCAGTTCGATGGTAAAACTTTTCACTCAGTCTTCAACGGTTTTAATCGACCCCATTCAAAGCATGGGAGTATAGCATTTCCGCTCTTATTCCAAAATGATAAGTATACATTCGAACAGCGAGTCACGAAATCAGTTCGGAGACCCGAATTCAAGCCTTATGAAAAACGCCTCAATTCACTGAATCTTTACTCATCAGAGTATGTGCGTCTTAGAGGTGACCTCTCAATGACTTACAGCATCATAAACAATTCTGGACATCCTCTTGAATGCTTACTTAGGCTCAGCCCCAACACAAACCTCAGGGATAACACCAAGAAACTGGAGACACAATATAGCAGAACGAACATAGGCACACCTGCTCGCTGAGAGTAATCAGATGCTGGAATTCTCTGCCTTCTGAGCTAGTGCAAGCGGCTTCCAATGAGTCCTATAAGAGAGAACTTGACATATTGTTAGGGACTAAGGACAGTATCTCAGTCTTCAGTCTTCAGTAATAAGGATAGGAGGTCTGTCGACCTATATTAATCCTTGCAGTTTGTAATACAGTGGAGGTCCAATCTCGTTTTGAATATATTAACAGATGGTGCTGATATTACGTGTTCCGGTAGAGAATTCCAGTAATTCACTACTCGGTGCGAGAAACGGAACTCCAGACGTAAACGGTTTGATCTCGGTTTTTGAACTTTCTTCGAATGTCCTCTCAAATGATCGGTTCTAGACGGGAGCAAAAGATAAGACATGTTAATACCAAGGTCATCGTTCAGTATACGATAGGCCAATATTAGATCACCCCTTATTCTACGGTAAGATAACGGAAATAAGTTAAGGTGTCTCAGTCTGTCTTCATAAGATAGGCCAGATAGACCTTGTACCATCTTAGTAGCTCGTCGTTGGACTCTTTCTAGCATATCTGTTTCATATTTGAAACAAGGACACGCTGCTTGAATCCCGTATTCTAAATGTGGTCGCACATAAATCGGGTATAGTAATCTAAACATTTCATCATCTAAATACTGGAAAGACCTACGAATTGACCATAATACCCTATAGCCTTTCGCAGCAGCAGCCTTACAGTGACCAGTCGTTTTGAGATCATTGCTTAATATGACTCCTAAATCTTTATAGTTTCTTACTTTTGGTAGCACGAATCCACGTAGCGTATAGTCATACGATTCATCAGAGTTATTTAACTGCATCACTACACTCTTATTAGGATTTACTTCTAGTGACCACCTATCTAACCATGCCACCAATGAGCTAAGATCGTCCTGTAATACTATCCTATCCGACATACTATGTATGGGTCTCCAAATCTTTATGTCATCAGCGAAGAGTAGAACGGATGATTTTGCTACAGTTGGCAATTCATTTACATAAAGTAAAAAGAGAAGAGGACCCAGGATTGTACCTTGGGGAACCCCACTTTTTACAGGTACCCACGAGGAGAGAGTCCCATTAACCCTTACCCTTTGTCTCCTGTCATGGAGAAAGTTACTTATCCAATCGACGACTGTATAATGGATTCCAAAACGTTTCAGTTTGAATTTAAGACCAGAGTGGGAAACCTTATCAAAGGCTTTACTTAGATCTATGAAAATCACATCCACAGGAGTATTTTGATCCTTTGCCGCAGCCCAATCTTCTCGTGCAATGAGAAGATTTGTCAAGCAAATAGGCCTTTCCGAAAACCATGTTGTGCCCTGGAGAAAAGATTTTGCCCTTCAACATAGTTTATGACAGCTATCCGAATGATTTTCTCCATCAGTTTTACAACTGCACTAGTTAAGCTAACGGGTCTATAGTTACTAACTAAATCCCTACCCCCAGCCTTATACACCGGACTTATTATGGCGTCTTTCCAGTCTCTAGGCAGTTTGGACTGTCTCAGAGACATGTCGAATAGTATCGCTAATGGTTCAGCAATTTCATGTGAAATGGCTTTCATAATCCTAGGATGAATATCGTCAGGACCACTGGACTTATCAGGTTTGAGATGTTGGAGTAGCCTTAAAACAGTATCTTTCTCAATGACTACAGGATCCATCAGCGAGCCGTCACGGTCGCAACGAATCATTGGTCGTTCCTCATTACCGATAGAAAACACTTTACTAAAGTATTTCGATAATGCTTCAGCTTTTTTGGCATCATTGTCTGCTAAGATTAACGGATTTTCTCGTATCAAAAGTGATGGAATTCCATCACTTCTCTTAGTTCGCCTTTTTATATACGAGAATAACCGTTTCGGACTATATCTAGAATCCCTAACCAATTGTTTTTCGTATGATAGTCTAGTCTTACTTATTAACGCTTTACAGGCATTCCTAATCTTACAATAACTGGATCTGTATTGTTCTAAGCCAGTAGAGATGAACATATCCCAGTGATTCTTCCTTTTTCTAAGGAGTTTCCTGACCGTTTTAGTTATCCATGGTGGACTATTATTCGGTCTTCACGGTACCAGATATGGTATGAACGGGGACGTAACTAGTCTAAATTTACCTTTAAATACAGACCATGCTTCTTCAACTGATATGCTAGTATCTACTAACCAATTTGTCTTAGCAGCACATTCCTGAATGGCTGATATGTTAGCTTTCCATACATTTGGGCGAGGTGTAACCTGATCGTATAACATGTCCCTAGTACGAAACGTGAATGACAAAACAGCGTGGTCGCTGTTCACTAACGGCGGGAGAATATTGAAGTCGACAATATCCTCAGTCTCATGAGTGATTACCAAATCCAGCAGAGAAGAACCCTGGTTAACACCAAAACGTGTGGGTTGGGATACATGCTGTACTAGTGCATGCTCCATTATTGTTATCAGGAACTTACTATCAAAGGAGTTTATAGATCCTGCTGTGGTCATATCAGTCCAACTAATATCAGGTGCGTTAAAGTCTCCTATTATCAAACATCTGGTATTTTCACTCCAAAGATGAATGTGCTCTAAAACAAAGTCATCAGCTAGGCAGATTGGGCTGCGATAGATGACACCGAGCATAAATGTACTACATCCGATAGCCGACTTACAGCTAATGACTTCACAAGTACCGCTATCATGGGAATCTCTAGTAGAGGAGCGGATATTTATGCTATTAGCTATGTATAACAGGACGCCGCCTCCTTTCCTACATCTATGTCTGTCACTCCTGATGCAGTGATATCCGGATAATTCTGGAGTAATGTCTAAGTCATCGACTAACCAAGTTTCTGTCACTGCTACTATGAGTGGCTTTACCCTGTCCACTAGTGCTTCTAGTTCATAGAACTTATTTCGTAGACTACGAGCGTTGGCATATAAAACTCCTAAGTAGAACAGCCTATCCACACAGGCCTTGGTAGCATTCGCTTCCAAGACCTGACTATCCGAAAACCCACTAACCGGAGATTTTCCTCGCCGTTTTGCCGACGGGTTTCAAGTTCAGCTAGTGCTTTCTTCCTTTTTATTCTATCTTCGAGAGATATATCAGGCCTAACTCGGATGTCAGAATTGTCGTGACAACGAGCGCTACTTAACAAGAGATCCCGTTGCTTCTCCGATCCTAGGATTATCTTAAGGAGTCTGCATGGACGGGGTTCAACATTGTCCTCGGTCCTCTTGCCTATTCTTACTAACTTTTTAACCTGAACTCCTTTGGAGTTATCTGGTAAAATACTACGAATGTATTCTCCTAGCTTTTCTAAGTCATGCGCGTGTCTAACTTTCGGATCAGGGTCACTTGACTCCCGCAATTTGCTCACAATAATAGTCGATGTTATTAGATTTTTCTTCTCAGTTACGCCAGGATGGGTTTCACTCTTACGATCAGATCTTGGTAGTGCAACTTGTGGCTCACAATTTGAGTCCACCATTGAGTTACTAACTACCTGTGTACTGCTTACAGCTTTTTTCTTTTCATTTCGTTTTCTACGTACCGTAGTCCATTTTTCATCCCTAGTAACACTAAGACTATTTGGAACGGTGACTGTTTTATCCAGATCGTCAATTCCCACTAAAGGTGCATGATTAACAATGTCAGTACTAGGTGGTACTACTCCCCTTGTTAATATCAACGGAGATTTCACTTTTGCGTCGTTCAGAGTCGGTTTTTTGAGGCGTTGCGTAACAACACTGACACATTCGTCACTGTCAGTGCCCGTGTTGTCGGCACATATGCCATCATTCTTCTTACAGGCCAAAGCCAATAGGCTCATAGCCTCGTTATAATTTACTGACGTTTTTCTCATTTATCATTAAATATGCCTAGGTTCAAACCTTCATCAATCTTATGGTATCGGTGACCCAATGTTACTAGATACGAATGTCGGTTTGGCGAAATTATATTCAACTATCTCAAGAATTTTTTGAAACCATTTAATTTTTGTAGGCTGTTAACGCTTTTGACCTTGAGTGTTTTTAAATTATCCATGTCTAGTTGGTTTACTAACAAAGTAGGTTGTACCTTTCTTATATGTCGTAGTTGACCGAGTGTTCGGGGCCATATTTATCGACAGAAGACTTACTTAAGCTGCGTGGCGAATGTAGTTCTGCTTTTGAGCGGAATTATGGTTTGAAGCTATGGAAGAATGGACTTCCAAGTGAATTAGGTTCGCTGAATCGTACTACACGAGAATGGTTATCTATGGCACTAAAATCAAAATCTGGGCAAGATTACATGTGTGCGATGGCTTACTTAGTGAACTCTTATCCGCTGTACGCTATTCGATTTCTTGATAATTTATTGTCGTTTGTCTCGCCATCGAAAAAGCGAGATTGCTTCAAATCTCTGGGTAAGTTGTCGCATTATTCCTTGATTAGTATGCAGATATACTAAGCCACCTCTTTTGTAGCTTGATACCGAAAAATCGTTCTTTGATTTCTGTCGCAAACCGACCTTCACACGTGCTAGAAAAAGTAGATACTCCCTCTTCGAAGGAAAATATTCTTTGCTTGTGGCATTTTGAAGATGAACTGAAGGCGGTGTATTTGCGGTTTATCAAAGCTTCGGAGGTTAGCTATTTTTGAATTGTAGAGCTTGTAGAAACTTTTGTTAAGTGACTGTGTAGATAATTTCAAACGCAAAGCGTTAGGTAGTTACTTTTTAAGAGGTTCATAACGTTGTCATTAGGGATTCTTGGTAGCCTTGTTCAAAAACAAGAGAATCAAACGGTAAGTGACTGTCCTTTTTACATTTCTGTAGTTAATATTAAACATAATAATTAATAAACTCGGTGATCGTAGTAAGGAGTTTGCATCTGCAGTGATACATAAGTTACGTCTAATTGGTAAGTCCGTGCTCATAATCATTTAGTCTTAGCTGGAATTTCCAGTGATTTTCTGCATTTAGTTGTTCAAGAGGTTCGATCTTTCTTGTTCCGTCCTAATTTGTTGGAAAGATCAAAATACTACGCTATTTCACTTCTAAGTTGTTTGGAGCTGAAGAGTTCATCCCGTGGAAGCGGTACCGATACAAATATATCGTCTGTGGCATCAACATTGATCAAGATATACATGTCGTTTTTCCGTTCCTTAGCTAATTCCAAAGAAATCCCCGAACGCCTTACCACTATATTACTTAGCGGTTTATGTCGAGTAGCTCCTTTTATTTCTGGTAAGTGTCATTCTTATGGATATCGTAATTATTTTTCGCTGTTTATTTATTTAAACACATAAACGTTTGTACAATGAGGCACCAAATATATGTGCTCCACACAAATGATTCGATTTTTGTGAGGACTGGAATACTGTCCGGGTGCCCAAACTGAAGCTGTATTTACGTGCATTGCTTCGAGTCATATTTTGGTTTTTGTGCTTAATAACACGCTGGTGAATAATTTAAAATAGGTGTTGTAGGGTCCCAACTTAGAAATCGGTGACTAGGAACGATGTCCTTTAACCACTTAACCTCCGACTTTCATTTAATTTCGTTGCATTTCGTTCAACCAGGGGTCGATGTTTCACTATTCGTAACCATAGTTTTCAGATGGTTCTCAAGGGTTACATACTTTGTTTGACGAAAGTGTAACGTGATAACTGAGTTTAGCTGTATTCATCATTAGTTTAAACTTTTCGTATTACAAAATTTCTAATAAATATTGCGAAAATCCACATTAAATTCTGTCAAGATTATCAAGTTGACCATTTGTACTTTTCTAGATACCAGTAGGTTCATGTTCAATATTCCATTAAATAATCCAGTCTGATGTAAAACTACACAACCGCACTCACTTAATGGATCTATCACAGATTTCATACTTCAAAGATACCTCGTGATTATTCATCACTGGATCACGTCGTTTTATTGCATGTTAACTATTGATCAACCTTCTAGTCGTTGATTTTAATAACCGAGAATTGATTGATCAAATAGTCAATATCATACCCTAAGACAGACTATTATAATAGTTGTTTTACGACGAATTCAGTCGGTTCTCAACTATTAGCTGCAGGTTTGAAATGGGTTCTACCAGTTTAGGTCTTCATAGGCAGTTAATATCACCATCCCACACACCCTGAAGCATAAATCTGTATGAAGTAGGGAGATAATTCGTTTAGTGGATATTATTACGTATGCAAGAATGTTTAGAATGGATTCTTTCCCATTCATTTGCAAAAGTTTGTTCCAAGTCTCATATAAGTCTCTGTTCAAATGAGTAGAGGTGGTATAGTGGTTAAGAGTGTCTAGTGTTTCAGTCACATTAGTTCTGTTAGCTCTGGTGGGTTGGTGCCTATTAACTATATAATCACTGCTTTTTGTTTATTCCGTTTAATTAGAATACAAAATGCAGAACTTTTCAGTATATTATACCAAAACAAGTACAAAGTAAGGTTTTATATTATTCATTAATACTTCCAGTAGTTATATACTATGTCTTAGACCTGATAGTCGGGGATAAAGAATAAAAAATTTCAAGCTTATTTTAATGACAGGATATATTGCCAATTCTATTGTCAATTTTCGGATTTATTGATAAGATTTCATTAGTGTTTCTTGTGTGATGGTGGCTCGATAGTCTAAAAAAAAAATCAATTTTCGAGCCTGAAATTCATTTCGGTTATTCTGATTTGAGTAGTCAGGTAGGATGTTTAGTGTATATACAAAAGTATGACTCGAATTTAAGTAAGTGAACATGTGTTAAACTATTGAATGTTGTTAACACTAAAGAAATAGAGGATGAATGGTTACAAATAAGTACAAATATGATAACAAAATTTTCGACTTGTACTACAACATATTTGCTCCTTATCTGGCGGTTTTTTTACATTCATTTTCTCATTTCTAACTATTATTGAATGATTATATTTTTAGAGGAGGCATTTACATCTATGTTAAGTGACGTTGATGATCTGTTTCGGCTTGTTCATACCACTGGCTTCACTGTGTCTGTTCAAGCTTTGTCCGTACTTTTTCAAATTTCAACTCATTGTGTCGCCATACGTGATCGTTATTATCAGGTCAGTCGTTGACAAAATTTTTTTAATTTTCTGTCTGTAGTATTTATTTAAATACATCATCCGATGAAACGAGCAGCTTAGTTTTATGATTAATGTTTTTAAATCTAACTTCCACTATTCATTGGTTACTTATTTTGTTACTTGTCAACTTTAAAATGTCAATAACCCGACCGTTGTTGCTACCTTGACGTGATGGTCGGGCTTGCCTATCGTGATGAAGCAACCGAGCTATACTGGCGGGAACAACCGTTCCTCAAGGTCCTACCACATTGGAAAGGTCGGTTGAAGAGCGGTAAGACTAAAAGCAACAAACCCAAGGTCCGAAGGCGAAGTCGTACTGCTGACTGTTCAGAGGTGTGACAGCAGTAAGGTGTTTCCTTCAGACAACCAGCATGACAGCGATGCTGCCTTCCCACAAGGGGGGGGTGGGGTTAGAAAAGGTCGACCCTAAAAATGCACACCTCACCTTACCCCACGGATTTCCGTCTCCGGCGGTAAGGCCCTTTGAAGAACGGAGCTAACATGTCAAAAACCTTCCACGAAAAGGCCGTGCGCGACCGGCCTCAAGCAGTTGTCCCTTGGGCACTGCGGTCACGCTCTCAGGTCGCTGAGACCGCCTCTAATCCAATTTCCTTTTCAGGTATCTCCAGAAGAACCCTTCCACGGTGTGGGCAACCGGGAAGTGATAACCGCCCTCATACCTCTAACAGCACCCAAGACCATTGTATTCATAATCAACCTTCCTCTTCAGCTCCTATTATTCCTCCTACATCGACTTTCAACCCTAAACTTCCTCCTTCGGCTTCCTCCTCAAGTGTCACCATAGCCAACGATTCTAGTGTTCAAAACTCTGTCCCAGGTCTACTGAAACCTCGCTCCAAACTACACATTGGAGCTTTCAACGTACGCACTCTATGTCAAATCGGTCAGAAGGCTTCCTTGGCTAAAACCTTAGAGTCTCTTTCCATTGATGTATGCTGTGTCTCCGAAACACGCATACAGGATTCCAGTGTGGTCATTCACTTGACCTCACCTCGGCAAAACGGAGAGCCAACGAGATACACCCTACGTGTATCTGGTGACCCGATGGCCAGTTCTCGTGGACTGGCAGGTGTAGGCATAGCACTAAGCATGAGGGCGGAACAAGCACTGCTAGAGTGGATTCCCATCAACAGTCGTCTATGTGCTGTTCGGCTAAACGGCTCCGTAAGAACTCGGAAGGATAGGGACACACGTCGTTGCCTTTTTGTCGTTTCTGCCTACGCTCCCACTGACTGCAGCTCAGATGATGTGAAAGATGAATTTTACAGAAAGTTATCTGAACTTCTTCAGAAAGCTAAACGCTCAGACATAGTACTCGTAGGGGGTGACTTTAATGCTCAGATAGGTAGCTTAAACCACACAGAAAGGCATTTAGGTGGATATTTTAGCATTCCGGCACAGCGAACAGATAATGGTGACCGTCTGCTGCAACTGTGCTCAGACAATCGCTTATTTTTAGCAAACACAAATTTTAAGCATAAGGAGAGACATCGTCTAACATGGCGACCCCCTACACCAAACCAACGATGGACTCAAATAGACCATATTGCCATCAGTCATCGTTGGAGAGGGTCGGTAGAAGATTGTCGCTCATTCTGGAGTACCTGCTTGGACTCCGACCACGCCCTAATACGGGCACGCTTCTGCTTGCGCCTCACCGGACGCAAAAAAGCCACATTGAAAAGACCCATTAGAACTAAGTTGAGTAACGAGAAAACCAAAAATAGGTTCCAAGAACAACTGAGTTCACACTTAGGTAGTTCTGAAGGCGAGGCTGACCCAGATGTTGCTTGGAAAGACATACAAGCAGCTGTGGAAGCAGCAGTGACATCTATTAGCGACTTAAACCACAGAGTTTCAAAGAACCAGTGGATTTCTTCAAAGTCTATCACACTGATGGATTCTCGCAAACTCGTCCCATCAGGTTCCGAACATGATAAAGAGCGACAACAAATCAGATCTAGGTTAAGAAAAAGTTTAAGAAACGACCGTGAGCAGTGGTGGGCAACGAAAGCAAAAGAGATGGAAAAGGCGGCGACTATAGGGAACACAAGACAACTTTACAGACTAATAAAAGAAACTGGAATTAATAAGTCAAGTGTAAGTGAGATTATATCGGAAAAAGACGATACTCTCATCTATTCCCAGTCCAGACGTTTAGAACGATGGGCGGAACACTTTAGGGAACAGTTCAGCTGGCCTTCAGCGACTCTACAACTACCCTCCATTCCCAGACAGCGTGAATGGAACATTGAAGTAGGTCCCCCAACTCTTGCTGAAGTTCAAAAGGCTATAGATAATCTGAAACGAGGAAGGGCAGCTGGTCCAGATGGACTGGTTCCAGAAGTCTTTAAGGATGGTGGTCCAAATTTAGCGGTTAGGTTGACTGATATTTTAGCTAAGATCTGGGAGTTAGACGTTATTCCATCTGGTCACAATCACTTATCGTCCCAATATATAAGAAAGGATCAAAATCATCCTGTGACAACCACAGAGGGATTAGTTTAACTAATATAATATCTAAAATACTAGCCTCGATAATTATCAGACGCCTAACTAAGACTCGTGAACTGCAAACACGAGAAAATCAAGCTGGCTTCAGACCTGGTCGTGGCTGCATCGACCACATATTCACCATTCGTCAGGTTCTAGAACATAGGCATAGTTATCGACATCCGACAATGGTGGTCTTTCTTGACTATAAAGCAGCATTCGACTCTGTAGATCGACGGGTTCTTTGGCAGTGCCTGTCACTGAAAGGCGTACCTCAGAAGTACATAAACCTTGTGAAGGCTCTTTACTCGAACACTACTAGTCGAGTGAGAGCTTATGGCGAACTGTCATCTACTTTTGTAACCTCAAGTGGTGTCCGTCAAGGATGTCCACTTTCCCCATTTTTGTTTAACTTCATCATAGACCTACTAATGGAAATAACTTTCTCGTCGACTGAGTTCTCGGGTATTGATCTCCATCCAGGAGGTCCACTTATCGACTTAGAATACGCAGATGACATAGTCCTGTTTGGTGAAGACGCTGACAAAATGCACTGAGCAACAACGCCAGGATGTTTGGAATGCGCTTCTCTCCCTCTAAATGCAAGTTGTTGCTTCAGGACTGGTCTGCGTTAACACCTGAACTAAGGATAGGGAGTGAAGTAGTCGAACGCGTTGACAACTTCACTTATCTTGGAAGTCTGATCAGCCCTAATGGGTTGGTATCGGACGAAATCTCAGCACGGATTCGAAAAGCTCGTTTGGCTTTTGCCAACTTACGTCACCTGTGGCGAAGGCGAGATATCCGACTATCAATAAAAGGACGAGTATACTGCGCGGCAGTCCGTTCTGTTTTAATTTACGGCAGCGAAACATGGCCATTAAGGGTAGAAGACACTCGTAAGCTATTAGTATTTGACCACAGATGCCTTAGAAATATTGCTGGCGTCTGCTGGGATAATCGGGTAAGTAATAGTGAGGTTAGACGCAGGGTATTAGGAAATGATGGTAAATCAGTTGATGAGGTTATGAATCTTCATCGACTGAGATGCTTGGGCCACGTGTTACGTATGCCTGAACACCGATTACCACGACGTGCAATGCTATCCGGTATTGGAAATGGTTGGAAGAAAGTTAGGGGCGGCCAAACCAAAACGTAGCATCAGTGCTTGGAATCACTAACTTCTAGTCTGAGCCATTTTGGTAGGTGCAGACTACGTTGTTGGGGTCCGCGTGACTTTCGTACCCAATGGTTGGAGACTCTTGGTGACATGGCTCAGAATCGATCACAATGGCGTCGGTGTATACACTCCCTGTCTTCTCTTAAACTAAGAGATTAAAATCGATTCATATCTTTCTTTCTACGAACCAATTCTTTCTTCTTGTACTATATCTCTATATGCAATCTTTCTCTTATATATTACCACCTTTTACTCAACCACTGTTATGAATCCGGTGTTCATCTTGTTGTGCTGATGCGGTATGGCAACCTGGACCGATGCACATATGTGCCTGGTCCTACGTTGTAACTGACTGACTGACTGTCAATAACAACTCAATAGTAACTTAACTCGCTAAAGAAATTAATACCTGATTATTAAATTCGATCTTTGGCCTCTATATATTACCAATATTTCCGAAATTTCGTTGTGTATTTGTTGTTACTAGTATCTTAACGATACGCATTTTAGTTGTATATTCTACATTATTATTCTATATTTTCTTAGGCTTTATATAGAAAATTACTGGATCCTGCTATTCATCAAAGTTCTAAAAACCCAATTCTACTACGTTTAATCTATCAAAGTATGGTTGGTGATGATGATACTGATCGAATTGTTGCATTTATTCACAGAATCTTGCAATTATGTATTTCGCATACAGATCCTGGTTTTATTGTTGGTTGCTTGATTTTAATTAATAAGGTATGGTTAATTATTATTCATTTATGTGTCTGTCAAGTTTACTGAAGATTTTAATCCCACGACTGAGATACGCGTGAATTCGAGGTTCAAAACAACGATTTATCCAAAAATAGGTTCTATGATTACAGAAAATATATACATTGCTTACTAACCTCAACTCCTGAAGTATCTGTGATAATTAAGATGTCTTACTTACTTACTTACGGCTGTTACTCCTCGTGAAGGAGCATAGGCCACTCACCAGCATTCTCCATCCAACCCTGTCCTGGGCAATCCTTTCCAGCTCCTTCCAGTTCCTATTCATCCTTTTCATATCTGCTTCTATTATCCGACGTAATGTGTTCTTAGGCCTTCCTCTTTTCCGTTTCCCTTCAGGATTCCAAGTTAGGGCTTGTCTTGTGGTGCAGTTTGATGATTTGCGTAATGTATGTCCTATCCATTTCCATCGTCTTTTCCTAATTTCTTCTTCAGCTGGAAGCTGATTTGTTCTCTCCCAGAGAAGGCTGTTGCTGATGGTATCCGGTCAATAGATGTTGAGTATCTTGCGAAGACAGCTATTTATAAATACTTGTACCTTCTTGATGTTGGCTGTAGTAGTTCTCTACGTTTCAGCTCCGTACAGTAGAACTGACTGTCTTGACGTTGGTATTGAAGATTCTCACTTTGATATTGGTTGACAGTTGTTTTGAGTTCCATATGTTCTTCAATTGTAGGAATGTTGTCCTTGCTTTTCCGATCCTCGCCTTTATGTCTGCATCTGGGCCTCCTTGTTTATCGATGATGCTTCCTCCTGTAGCTCTTCTAGAGTTACTGCCGGTATCAACCCCGGGTAAAGGAGGAGGGTTGGGCATGGCGTTAGCGTCCCCATCCCGTAGAAAACTAACTCACTAAAAAAAACGCTTACCAGAAAAATAATTAAGATGCCTGTATGTATCAAAAAAGGCCTCGTTAAATCTATCGAAGCGTTTAACCACATATCTGAGATACAACACAAACCGAAGTTTATAGAACAACGATTTGTCCAAAAAGCGATTCTATATTGAGCAATAGACGTAAAGTAATTACAAACCCCAACTTGTGAGGTATCTGTGGCGTCTGAAGCTTCTGAAAGAATAAGGGCTTCCTGCATCAATAATATAGCGAATAATTATGACATATGATAATGCAAATAACACCTTATAACTGTGTCTAATCTTGATAACATTTTATCGACATGTAAAAAAGAAATCAAATGCAAATCAATATAGAAACCGTTGTGTTTAAATGGAGATTCAGTGACTATACAAGACAGAATAACTTAAAGGGATTGGGAGAAAGCGATTCTGATAGTAAATACGATAAATGTTATAAGTATATGTAAATATTTTAGAAAATTACACAACAAACTTGCGTAACAACATACGCATAGAAATTGTTAAGTGAAACCGCTTACTGAATATTAATAAGTAGCATAAGACGATACACGATAAAGTCGACGGTAAGGTAGTAAAGACAGAGAACCTAAACAAACTTAACAGGCTTCCTATAATAATTTCATATGGTGATGTTGATGATGGCATGAATGAAAGTCAGTAACTGTATCTGAGATCAGTAATGGCTATCGACATTAAAGATAGGGACTGAGTGATGTTGCATTTAAATAAATGTTCAGGGAATGCATAAAAACTGAAAATAAATATTGTTGTATGTTAACTATCAGTGAAATCAAATTTTTTTTAATGACACTCGATAATAGATACTATTGTAGCTTTGGAAAACACTGTTTAAACCTGAGGACAGACAAATCGTTGTCCCCATCCACCAGTTTGCCAATTCGTTAAATGTTTAAGTCATCTGGAATTATTCATAACATATTCGATGATCTTATAGCAGATCCTGAAAGACTGACATAGACAGTATTTTGTATTGACAATGCTATTATAAAACTTGAAAATTTCATAAACTATATGAGGAAATTGTAAACATTTAAATTTCGTTAGATTTCTTAGTGACAGATTCTTACTAAGACTTTTCTACATGCTAGGTAGGTAATAAAAGTTATGAAACTCTTTAAGTATGCAGTAAAATAAGCATAGTTCACTCAGTTATTCATTTAAATTTAGACGAATCACATTAATGTATAGCATGATTGACTAATAATAGACAATTCCATTGGGAATACTGTAGTGAAGGAGAACACAGGTGATGAAAACCGATTATATTTAGCACACATTTACAGTTACTTGGTAAAATAGAAAAGCCATACTCTAATACTTCATTTGTAAAATGTTCATTAATTGTTTCAGACTTCATTGTTCCTGCATTTCTATACTAATTAATTTCTGTTCCTGTTCTTCCCTTCTTGATCTACTCAATCTCCTACTTCCAGGCATTCTATTCCTGACTGGAATTATATGCTACTTATATCGATATAAGTAGCTCATATCACAGTACTAATAACAATGACAGTCATAATGTAGTGAACACTAACATCAGTGGGGACAATCGAATATAATTGACACAAAATTACAGAGCATCTCAATGAAATCTGAGAACGATATAGTAAATAGTTAATTTGCAAAATATCAATCCATCGTCTCAAACTTCATTGTTCCTTTTGCAAATATCAGTCCGTTGTCTCAGATTTCATTGTTCATGCATTTTCATACCAATTGCGTACCATTTCCGTTCTTTCCTTATCGATCTTCTACTGAAATACATTCTATGCCTGACCACCGTTATATGCTACTTATATAGATATAAGTAACCTACACCACAATAATACTTCCATTTTCACAATCAACTCTCTGCTTAATTTATCATTTTATCTTGTCTTTGTATTATTTCCTGTTCTATTCATTTTTGTATACAGGTATCATTATCCAAACCAAATGTTATAATGGTTTCTCAAATAAATAAAGAACATTTAGTGAGTGATTTCAATTTAACAATAATAATCATGATAATGTTCTTATTAATCTGCATAAATCTAAAGATGGTGTTTATCTCTAAATGTAACTACTTTATTCGTTGTTAGTAAAAGAATGAAGTATTAGTATAAAGAATTCAACTTTTGATTTCTAAGCTCTAGGTTCAAGTATCAATTAGTCTTCTATTTTTGTTAGTTATGTATTCTTATTGTTGACCCTCGCTCGGGACTCGAACCTGGGGTGTATTAGTTTGAATCTCACTCCATCTACTTTGATTTGAGGAGCCATGTAGAATTATTAACGCTCATAGCTGAGTGCACGAAGTTGTATAGGGTAATTCATATAAATATTCGTTTATCGTTTTAAACAGAAATAAATGGAGCCGTATTCATTCAGTCATTAGCAGTCAGTTACAAATTGAAACTTGGTACGTATGTATATATTGGTTCAAATTGCTATACCCTGTTAGCACAGAAAAATGAAATTGTCAGGCCGAATCACAGAATAGTAGAGGTAGTAACAGTATTAGTGGTAATAGGAAAGATTAGGCACCGAAGAGAAAATATGGTTTAGTGAAATACAAATACTAAATAAGTTATGAGAAATTTAGAACCTCAAAATATGGGGGAATACAAAGAACAGATCCACTTACGCCATTCCAAGCAATTTTGAGCTATTTCACTCAAAACCTCTAACCATTGGTTACGATGATTACGCGAACCCCAATCATATAGTCTGTACCCATTAACATAAACAAGTTCAAATGTCAATGGTTTCATAGAATAGTGTCATGTCTTGGTTTAGCCGCCTCTAGCTTTATTCCAGCCCACTCCTGCATCAGTAGTTGGAAACTGTGAGTAGCATAACTTACACTGGTTCACAGTGGCACAGATGCATGAACTCTTTACATTCCTTTGGTTCTCGAGTTTCAGTATTGCTTCACATACCTTGTCACTTTGCCTTTTTAAAACATAGTCTCAATGCTTAATCTTTCACAATATGATTGTTACCAAATATTTCGATCTTTTTTACTAATCATAATATATTTCACATCTTTCTGCTAATGTGGTGTGGTAATTTGTGCCAATGCACATCTGTATCAGGCTCTATGTTAGTAATGATCAACTGTTCTAAGAAGATCACGGAATTACTGAATATTTGTTAATTTTACAATCCTACTGGGAGGTCACGTTCTAAGTTGCCTATGGCTAACTGACTGACTGACTTACTAGAAATGGTAACCGCGAATACTTTTTGTCGTATTCAAATTTCTGGATAACCTCTGTTCTTTTCTGATTAGTCGCCACTAACTGTTTGCTAATTTTCTGTATACTTGATGGTCCTTCTTTCGTAGCAACGGTGGTCTAACTTAGATTGACTCGTGATTTCAATTGTGATAATAATGCAATCTCCACAAATTCTGAATGTGTTATTTTTTCATTTTCAACTGACTATTGCTAACATATTTTTCTATCCTGCATAATTAGCCTTTTTTGTGATATTTCCGTAGTTCATTATTACTGTTATTATTATTATTGTTATCTATCATTCAATAATTAGCCAGTTAATGAAGTGACGAGTTTGGCAAAATTCGAACAGTCCGATGATGATGATGAGGATGAGCATTTCAGTGATGCACATTGTTCTGATGATGATAATCATAATGATGAAAGTGTACAGAATGGTGTAATGACTAATAAAACGACTGAATCAGAAAAATCTACAGTCATAGATGATAAGAGTAATGTATTATTAACATCATCATGGTATCATCGTTCTTTAAAAAAGCAACGGAACACCCGAAACATATTTAATTATGGTTATAATCCAACTGTACGAGATCCAAAATTTGCACAGGCTACTGGATGTTTACTTTGGCCACTTAGTCTCCTGTCAAAACATATTCATCCTACAATTAATTTATTTGCCAATTCATTATTAAATAATTTACCAATACAGTACACTGGAGATCCATTTACGGATTTTGGATTAATGCATTTTCTGGATCGATTCGCATATAAGAAACCAAAGTTGAATAAATTAAAAGAAACAAAGTCAACTACTGAAGAACCTATTCAGAGTATGTTTTTATTTCCTGAATGTTTGTACATTGAATTGCTATCGCTATTCTTAATGAGATGTTATAGCCTAAATTCCACTTTTTACTTTTCTGTTAACATCCCATATAAATGAGTTTCTATAGTTTTGATATAGTATTACGAATTATTAATGACATAATCAAACAGTAACACTTCAATAAGGTACAATGATAATAAGTAAGTAAATTTCAATTCAAAGTCACCCGTAGTGTGCATTGTAGTATGGTGTAATCAAAAGTGTAAACACTTATCTAAACTAATATTTTTCACTATTAGTTAGTTAGTTGTTTTGGAGAATGTAAAGATGACTTACACCTCTTTTCGAATTTGTCACTCACTAAAAGTTCCACTAGTAGTCACATAGAAGTTATACACTACGATTTTCGTTGTTCGAGCGATAGTCCAGTTGTTGAGGCGTTTAACCTTCAGCCATCGACATACGGGTTTGAGAACCACTTTACGTACCTCAGTTTGAACAACTGAGTAGTATCATTAGCTGGTACACCCACAGTTTGACTTAAAGCCAATTATACGAATTTATGCCTAGTTCAATGACTTCATATTAATATTTTCAATGTTACGCATATGATTTTACGTGGTTATATTTATATATATAGTCATTCACATTTTTGATCTCTACCAAACAAATCTTCTGTACAATATTGTCTTTTTGAGTTGCCAGGGTTATATTAATATAACAATATGCAACGTTTGAATGTCGTTAAGTCATATGCTCGCTTCAGATTTTATTTGAATTTTGTATCAGTGATTGACTAACTCTGATGCACACTTAATGCATATTCTATTCTTTTTAGAAACTGCCCCTGGAAAGTTCTTAAAACGAAAAGAAGGTTCTTTGTCAGGTCCACAAGCAATGGCTGTTGATAGTTCGGCATTCCGACAACTTCCAATAACTAGTGTTCCTGTTCATGAACGATTTTTCCATAAGTAAGTTATATTTTATTATTTTTTAAGTTGTGAGTTTCAGGATAATGTGACTTTCCTTTTTTTCTCCAAAGAACGTGGCGTTTAATCATATTTTCAATGATTGATATGTAGATTAATTGATTAACTCATTCATTAGGTACCTGGGCATGAGTTACACTTCAAGTCTGATGGCTAATAAATACCACCTGGTTGGCCAAGCTAAAGCAAATGGGTCAGGTTTGACCCTAGAACTTAGTCGCTGCAAGTTGAACGCCTTAAGATTTTAAAGACTGACATTTTAATCCAAGAATTAGTTTGTGGAACAAAAAGATAATATTAAGACTTTAGATCTATGGAATGATAATGAATAAGTTCGTCTGTACCATTGTGACCGATTCTCACCCATGTCAATCATTGTTTTCAACCACTGGTTATGATAATCGCTTGAACCACAACCAGGTAGTCTACATGTACCTACATAACTCAATTCAGTGATGATTGACCTCATAGACTGATGCCATGTCTTGGTTTGACTACTCTTAGTTTTATCGTAGCCTAATTGTTAGTGTGATATAAATTGAAATAACTCATACTCCATGTAGGATTGTGTTGGAGCACACTGAATGGGGGTATTTCTTAGCCAATCAGCGCTAGCGGACAATTGGGGAAGACTCTAGAATCTTCTCGTGTAAAGCTATAAATATACTAATGTTTTTCCTACTGTTATTCTTACTCCCATTCATCTTTGTTTATTCGGAATATAGTGACGTTCCTGTTCAACTGTGTTCTGATTTGGGGACTTATCGAGAATATCAAGCAATAGGAATAGCTTGGTCGTAATGTAAGAGAATAAAACACTACTCTTAAATCGACACTATGGCTTCAATAAACCTCGCTCACCTTTCAATAAGGATATAGAAAATTCAGAAAGTTCATTCTAGCTCTGTCCGATAATAATACCGTGAGGTCATTGATAATCGGACTAAGACATGTCAATAAGTATAGGCTAACCATTTAGGGGGGGGGGGCAGCGCGACTATCTTAACCATTGGTTCATTTGCAATAATGCACGTGCATTCACTTCATACCATTCCTTAGTTCCTGAATACTGAAACCTCATTATAATTTTGGATTATTCTTTCCCATACCTAATCGTTTCTACTACTACTGATACTCGTAATACCGCTACTATTCTGTAATTTATTCCTCTGTGCTCATATGATATGGTAAGTTCAATTGGTGCATTTATGCATCATATTTTACGCTGCGTATAACTAACTGACTGATTGATACCACGTGAACTGTATGAGTATTTTTAGAAATGTTTTTAAGATCTCCCTGAGGAAATCACTCACTAAAAATGCAAATTTAAGGATTGTTGAATTCAATTTAAAAGCAGTCATGAAAAAGACGTTTTTTTACTATTCCCAGTGAATTTGATTATTTTCCCTTTAAAAGAATAGTACATTAGTAGTCATAGATTTAAACTTCACTCTCTTCACTTCGTTTCAAACTGGTTGTAAATATTTCTATCTGCCTTTCCTCAGGGTCTGAATAAAAGCTTAATACAGTTGATAATTTTCACTTTTTAGTATTTGATCTATTACTAGTTGAATTGTGTAAACCTACATCATACTGGTTAACCAAACTAAATTAAGATAGTGACCTCTAGGATTTTTTTGTGAAATTCACTTTATAAGTAGATTTATATAAAATGCCTTTATATATAGCACAAATTTACGTAGAATAGATGAAATATGGCTAGCATTGTAATTCAGGACGTGTGTTTCGTCTTATTTGACACTTGTCGACTTGATATACTTGCATTCCAGAGTTGATATCTGCTTCAGGATCCAACCCCCACTATATTTCGATTCGAATACCAACACACTATCTATTTAGCTACTGAGTTCAGGTGGCCACTCACTTGTGCTAGGGTTATGAATTCTAATTTACTTCATAGTGGTTTTGATTATCCAGTTGTTGATATTTCTACTAAAGTGTAATCAATTTTACTTGGCATATTCAAGGAAACGAGCATCCATTCCACTACTAGCCTCATTTAATTTATTCTACGTAAATTTGTGTCATAATGGATATATTGAGGCAATGCACACAGGATCAACAGATGCTAACTAACGCTAATCAGATTTCAGTCAAAATATCAGAAACAGGATAATTTAGACCATTACAAATAGAACGGCATAAATTATTTAATATTTACAAGTAAGACATTAATATCACTAGATGCCAGCTCAGTGGTCTAATGGTTAGGCGCTCGCGCGCAAGAGTGATAGGTCCTGGGTTCATGGATGTGCACTACTGAGAAGTCCCATACTAGGACGAAAAGGCCGTCCAGTGCTTCTAGGTTTTCCATGGTTGTCTAGCTTCAATCGATTCATAATCTCAACCATTAAAAAAAGCTATTTGTTCCACCATAAAGTGAAAATATCGTATTTTGGAAGTAAACAAAACGCTTACTTTATAGGTTTCGTTGCCAAAATCGGGTTTGTTAGTTTCATATAAACTGATCATTGGGTAGAAAGTCAATGATATATATATCCCAATGAGTAGAAAATTGTATATCTGACATTTTGTGACTTAACGTAGGTCACTTCTTCAGAGTAAATAAATAACTGAAATATAATTAACACAAGTTTAAATAGTACAAACTCGTTTTGAGGCCTAAATACAATAACTCTTTTTTCTATCCTAATCCTATTTACCCCCAAAAACCAAATTTATACATAGAGACTAAAGAAGAATTTATTTAAACAAGCAACATACACTTGCGAAAATGTACATAATCACTTTAGAAGAGGGGTAGAATTCAGTTCACTAAAAGAACCACAACCCAATAAGAAATTACCATTTTTAGACGCTGTAAAAATAAAGGATAACTGCAATATGGAGTTTTGGCATGAAAAATAGAAATTTAAATCTACAAAATAAAAACAACAAAATATTCATTAAGTGGTTGTATCTTAGATATTTAATTTTCATAGTAAGGTCTAAGAATTTCAGAGTTTTAACTAACATGATTCGTCTTAGTAGTTTCATCTTGTCTTTATATGACCATTTTTCAGTTATTTTAAATTTTTGGAGACCCAACCAGGTCACATTAAAAAAACTGAAAAGAAACCAAAAGATTATGATGAAAATGGAAGTGACAGTGATTCAGTTGCTGATTCTGAATTCGATGTTTATTTAGGTAAATTGTAGTGTTATTATTAGTTTTAAAGTTTATTTTATTTCATTGCATTTATATTTCTCTTTGTAAATCCTATTTCTATCAACCATTGATTGACTACTTGACATACATGGATTGGGAAACTTATAGATATGAACACTAACTAGGTTAATAAAAGTACCTTTTATAGTGTATATACAAACAGTCACTTATTGTGTAATATCTATAAATCATTTCTTTTTCATGCTTGTTCGTTGAAGATAATAAGAAAGCTGTATTCACACTTAATCTAATTTCCGGTACAAAACTATTAAATAATTCTTAAGAATTGCAAAATTTTCTTTATTTTACGTTTACTTTGAAAGCAATGAGATAAACTATTTATTTACTATGTGATTCTCTTACATAATGTTCTTTTTGTTTTCTCTCAAAGTACTTGAACTCTTGACGGAAATTTTATAATTCCTTTCTAGCTTTCCAGTATACGGCAAAGAGAAGACGAGAAGTATAGGTTTCATTTCAAAGTTAGTTTATAAACAGAAAACAAGAGTATTTATAAGTTCAGTGGTCAGTAACATTTTAGAGGCTTTTGCAAGTAAACTAAATATGGTAGAAATTATAGGTAATTGTTTAATCTAAGTGTTACACATAATCATGAGTTCGTCTATGAGTTTATGGGACGTTCTCATCGGATGCTGAATGGACGAAATGATTTGCAACCCTTCCCCACCTTCTAAAGATCTTTTCGAGAAAGTTACAAAGCCTCTCGACAGTGGGATTATTAGTATAGGTAATAAGCTAACTTCAATCAAAATAAATGAATAATGTTCTAAAGCAGAGTTTCTATGACAAAATGTTCTCTGAATACACTAAAGAATATGACAATTAACAATCCTGAAATACCTAATAGCATTAAGACTGTAAACACATTATGATTATGCATGTCATTCAGTAGACTTAACCATGACATTTTGAGTTTTAAAAAGAATAGACAGTTAAATGTCACATTTGATCATGAATTTTCTCCAGAAAATTCGCATATTCATTGAATCTATTTAAACACATAAATATTGGTACAAGTGGGCACCAGATACATATGCGCCACACAAATCAAATAAGATTTTGTGAGGGCTGTGATACCACCCGGATACCCAGACCCAAGTAGGTAGTTTTCTTAAGGGGCCGCACTCGGAGCCTTCCACCACCTAAAGGTCTGATCTACAAAGCAGTGGGGCATCGTAAGGAGATGTAGTTTCATGGTAGCCGGTTACCAACGATTGATTCATACGCCATTTGTTCCTTCAGGATACTGGAGCCCATATGCACCATTGGTTTGGAATCAGGGTTTTCCAACTCCCCTAGGTGAACCCTTCGTGTCCATTAACCCGGTTAAAGCGCCGGAGTTTCACTTTTCGTTCTCTCACTTTCGTAAACAACAGTATTGCCGCGAGAAGGGACTGAGTAGTTCCCTGGCAGTGGTCGTATGCACGTGATCATGTGCTGTTATTAAATAAGACTAATTGGGTTTATTTCTCTTTCATATAATTGATCTATTTTATTCACTATTTCATGGTAGAGAATACTCTTGCTAATGATGTATGTCTTTTTTTTGAAACTTTACAGCAAAACATGAAAAAGATTTGTTTCCTCCGAATGAAGAATGGGAAAATGATGGTAATTTACAATGTTATGCACGCTATCATTTTTTAAAATTCATTGTTTTAACCTTTTTATTCACAAAGTATGGCTTTTGAGATACAAAAAATGTAGGATTTATGATTGTTTTAGATAGTGAGATCCGTATAATTCGTTTCAGTGTTAAAGGTATTTGGGCAAAAACCGATATTATATATAGTACCCAGGACTTCTTGCTTATTACCTTCAACTATCTAACTTAATGCGATTAGTGTACATGATATTGAGTCACTTAGATTAGTAGCCACTTTTCAACTTCTCTAATTAATCAAGACTAAAGTGCTAAACAAACCATATAATCATAGAAAATATACCGAATATTCTTTGTGCTATTAACAGCTGTAAATTGTAGTTCTCAAAAGTAATGGGTATGAAAAATACACAGTGTAAGAGCAACTAATGTATAGTGATTATTGTAAATGTTAAACAATGAGAATGATAAGAGTCAGTCGATTTATGAGGTTTTGGACTTAAAATCAACTGAGGTAATTATGATGTGTTCCACTTTGAGCCAATATTTTATTTTGACATGTATGATGTTATAGTAATTATCAACCTTGTTGCACGACAAGACAAAATGTCACAGGCAATTGATTTAAACGAATGAGTAGAACATTCATTTCGTAATTAATTCCATTGAAATGAGAAACTGCTTAAATGTATCGGTGATTGAATGGTTAATGCTTTTTGTTGTGACTTTAAGTCTGACTAGTTATCACGTAATTTATTCACCAATCGAAATACGACTTATTCATTCTTGTACTGTGCTAAACCAAATGACGTTCGACCGGTCTGATCAGCCTAACGTCCTTATCGGTACTTTGTTTGCCTAGCCCGTCCAACTGAGTCCAGAACACCAATAACAGCTTCCGCCATGCGAATCCTTTATTTTAGACATACTTGGTTTATATACCAGTCAAACAGACCGCATCGCACCATAAAATACGAAATAACATTTATACAAAATACAGCCAAAAGTGGCTGTGAACGTGAGAGACGGTAATCAAATAACTGAGTATAACTTAAGAACAGTAAATCGTATAATAATGATCTATAGGTCAAAAGGAAGCTTATAATAAGAGGAATATAGATATATACAGTCTAATTACTGAAAAACCATACAATAAGAATATATATAGAATATTAGTTCTCAGAAGTTACTAACAATTTAATCTTCACTAGGATATAACACTCTTGACTTTAACCCAGATTTAAATTACGCTCCACCTACTTCGGTTTGAGAAACTGGATAGTATCATTATCCCTCACACTTAAAGTATAGCTCATATCCAAGTATGCAGCGAATACGTTAAAATTTAATCTTTCCAACTTATATTGATAATATTGCTGTATCTTTTCAAAAAGAAAACTTGTTTTAACCTTACAATCGAGTTACTATATAAATCAACTGTTTCCTTTTTTTCCTTCACGCACCGCTTTACTCATTTTTTCCTCATTGATTATTTGATGTACAAATTTGGTTTTCTTCATTTGGGAATGTTTCTCTTTTTGGAATATATTCAGCTGAACCAGAATTTAGTGATCAAGACTTCATGGATAATTCAGCAGATGAAGATGATACAAATGAATATGACTTTTCAGGTATTTAATAATTTAAAGAAAAGATAATAAGACAAGATATTATATTTAATTACTTTTAATTTTTCTTTCAGGTAAATGAGAAGTGAATTTATTAAGACATTAAACTAAAGAAAGGAATATAGTGTGATTTACTGAAGAATTCCTTTCAATCTATTTTTCATGCTTGACTTTCAGTTATGCTTTAATCATTATGATTAGTGTTCCTACTATCGAATGGAGGAGTTTTGAAACTACAATCTACTCGATAAAATCTAACTACCTTAACAAATAAGCTATTGTTTCAAGAATAGGTAGACTGCAATTAATAGTAGAATCTAGGAGGCACGTTTTATCTTATTTAAAACTTGTTCGTTGGATTTCCTTGCATCTTAGTATGAATGCTAAACTGCTTTTTTTTCTGATCATCAGTGATTGCAAAATAGGCACCAGGTTGGAAGTCGTTCCTGACTGAGAAAATAAGCTACAGTTTTTTTGATGAGCATTTATTCATCGAGCTGTATGTGCGTTACATTGTGTATTTTGGATGCGAACTACTATGGAATCGCATACTAGGAAGGAATAGCTATCTCGAGCTTATTAGTTTTTGAGATTAAACTATCTAAGTTAGAGGGTATAATGTTTCCAAAATCCTCATTCTGAGCTAAAAATATCTTTCATTATCGCTTTGATCTATGTCGATCTTTACTAACATATATAGGATCTTATGAATTTTAGACGAATCAAAATTTTTATTTAAACTTTAGTGAATGCCAACTGCATGTATATTCTAGTGATATTGATCAATATATTTAACAAGTATGTATTAGTGTTTGATATTTAAAGTACTTACCTTTTAGTCCCCGTGGTCTAAGTGATCAAAATTCAATCTATTTATTTTGGTTTGATATACTAAGTAGTTTCACTGTCCTTTCATACATAAATTCTGACTGAAAACTGAACAGATAAACCAATTCTTGATGACAGAGAGTTACGTTAAAATATATAAAGTGGTCAGTTTTTGTCTGTTAAAACCATTTTACATGAAACTTGATTAGTTTTCCAAATATCAGAAATGATACATTTTGTGTTTCTTTTTATTCTTCTGACTTAAGAAATGGATAATATCAATTTGTCAGCTAATTCAAAGTCTAAGAAAATGAAAAAACCAACTGAATCGAAATGCAAATATCACAAATTTGAAGATGACGATGAAAGAGCGGTTAATGATGATGAAAATTCTGAAGACGATAGTGATGAGGAAGACGACGATGATGATTATATTCCTGATAAACCAGGGTAAGTTCATCCTTGTAAAGATGATACTGTTTAATAAGACATATTTTTGACTTCATTTTTAGAATTCTCAAAACTCATGTTGTCTAGTGTAGATTAATATTTATTAGTTGATGGTGTAACTGAAATATAGCCAGTAAACTGAGCAACAAATTTCCATGTGTTACACTACACAGCGTCAAATTGTGAATTCGGTTGAAATCTCACAGTGAGGATCAATTTTCATAAAATGGCAGATTTGTCCAGCTGACGTGACGAGTGCCAACTGACTCAAACAGAATTTCCTCTCAGCCATCTCTAATCACTTTTTAGCGTAATGTTAAATACTTCAATTTAAAGGGTCGACAACAACTTTATACTTAAACTGGTGACTACAACACTTATTTTCTGACCTATTGGAATGTTATACAACCCCTTAGATTTTCATTACGCAATCAATATTTCTATGTATATATATATACATAGTCTATTGAAAACTCAGTAGGCCTCAACATACACAACAGGAAAACCAAGATACTCAAATTCAAAACAAAGAACAGCAATCCAATCACTCATGATGGCAAAACTCTGAAAGATGTAGAATTCTTCACATACCTGGGAAGCATCATCGATGAACAAGGAGGTTCAGATGCAGACGTAAAGGACAGGATTGGCAAAGCCAGGGCCGCATTCCTACAATTGAAGAACATATGGAACTCAAAACAACTGTCTGTCAACCAATATCAAAGTGAGAATCTTCAGTACGAACGTCAAGACACTCAGTTCTACTGTACGGAGCTGAAACTTGGAGAACTACTACAGCCAACATCAAGAAGGTACAAGTATTTATAAATAGTTGTCTACGCAAGATACTCAACATCCATTGGCCGGATACCATCAGCAACAGCCTTCTGTGGGAGAGAACAAACCAGCTTCCAGCTGAAGAAGAAATTAGTAGAAGACGATGGAAGTTGTTAGGATATACATTGCGCAAATCATCAAACTGCATCACGAGGCAAGCCCTAACTCGGAATGGTGAAGGTAAGCGGAAGAGATGAAGGCCAAAGAACACATTACGTCGGATAATAGAAGCAGATATGAAAAGGATAAATAGGAACTGGAAAGGATTGTCCAGGACAAGGTTGGATAGAGAATTCTGGTGGTGTGCCTATGCTCCTTGACGAGGAGTAACAGGCGTAAGTAAGTATTGAAAACTATAAAAGTAGTTCATTGTATTATTAAATAATTAATTTTATGTATTTCCTCATTTTATTATCAGTTATGTGATTAACTTCAATTTCTATTTTCCAAGGATTGTTGTTACACTTCTGAAACTTATATCGATCAATGCTTCCTTCAATTACTTAATACTTTCCACTCTAATGATTCATATATAAAGTTTCCATTTTCTGTTATGTATGTTTACTGTGCAATCAATCTGCAAAGGATATACATAAATAAATTGTGATTGACGCTTTGTTTACAGTACAGTATATCAAAGAAATGCTTTTTTCCCAACATATGATTGATTTCAACTTTTCAATTTACACAGATTCACTTATGTGTACAATAAGAAAACACACACTTGAATATAAGATGAGTGTCTATAAAATCATTAGTACTCGACCTACTTAATTAATAATCTTTTCAGTATGAGGTTGTGAATGAAATAGCAGTCCAGTACATCGAAGTTTTCAATGGTGGTCTAAAATTGATCGGTTCATGATTTAAATTCTAATATATATATTTTTTGATATGTGAATATGTTTTTATGTGTATATAATGATTTCCAGATTCATTTTTCAATTTGGGATGGATTCAGAATCGCTATCTTAAGATAGATTACAGGGAAGTTAGTCGACACCCTTGAATTTCTATTTACCGAGTTTTTTCACCCAAAACTGCCAAATATTAAGTAATCTAATGGTTAAGCGCTCGCACGCGAGACAGGTTGGTCCTGGGTTCAAATCTCGTAGGGGGTGGGAACGTGGATGTGCACTGCTGAGGAGTCCCATACTAGAACGAAACGGCCTTCCAGTGCTTCCAGGTTTTCTATGGTGGTCTAGCTTCAACTGGCTCATGATTTCAACTACTGAAATTAAGTTAACGTCTTCAAAAGATGTTCTATTCGTTTTTTAAAGGAACTGTCAGTACTACTCATTCATTGCCACAAGTAGTCTAGCTAGAGAAAATTTAATTCAGAACTGACATACCAAAATTCAACAAGACTATAATTTATAGATGACCTTTAAACGACGCCAAAGTTACCTTGAGAATTTCCACCGAGTAACTTGGACGAAATTAGGTTTATACGGAAATGTGAGGAATTAGAATTATGATTTACAGTTGATGGTCAGGGTTCGGAACTAGATTTAGTGTTTGTAACACGAACTAACATCAGTTAAAATGCCGATACGTTATTTAACCAAATGGATGAATGAATTTCACGTTGAAATTCAAGACCTGTTATCCTATATCTCATCGGTTCATCCATAAATTATAGTCTCACTCAAAACGCTTTTGTTTATAATTGGTGAAATGTTTTTAGATTTAAATCAATATTAACTGATTGTTGAAATTGCTATCCTTTTTTTTAACTCTCTCCTTTCCAGTCAATTCAATTTAAATAATTTATTCGCAAGTGCTGAAGAAGTTGGCCATTTATATGATGTACAAGAAACTGCAAAAGAAAAACGACAACGATTTTGGGAACAAAAACGTTTATATTCACAGAGTAGTAATAATAATCATAAACGCCGCCAATATCGTGAAAAAGGAGTTCCGAAAAGAACTAGACTAGAAAATCGTGATCATCATCATCAATCGTCTAATCAAGGAAAAAGAAAACTTAAGAATCAAAATAAATCAAAACGACCACGTCGTCATTCATAAAAGAATTTTCATAACCCATTCACAATACAATTTGTATTTTGTTTCTCAGAGAAAAATACTTTTTTATTTTTAATTCAAGTTATTTTTCTTGACACAGAAAATAATTTTAATTATAGTCACGAAAGTCTAAGGTAAATAAATTAGAGAGGTATGGATCTAACAAGAAGGAATTTTGCCATTTGTTAATATAGTTTATTCACTGTATTGTTGTTACCAAATAGAGTAGAGTTTGATTGCGTTGAATAACAAACGTTGGGCCAATAACTCGTTCGTTATTATAAGTAGTTTTTAATATTCATGATTTAGACAATACTTAGGTATTTGTTAATAATAAGAGTTCTCATTTTGTTACTGTTGATAAGATCCAGAGTATTCCTTGGAAGATGTTCATAAGGGCTCTAAAAACACTGGGATACACTTTATCCAATTAGCACTGGGCAGAAGTATCCAAAAAACATCTAGAAACTGAAGAGTCATATGTTACATTTCTGATTGAGTGATCACCTACGCTGCTACTATGTTTAGTAGCGTTCCATAACCTTTTAGAAGCCCAAAATCATCTGAAACACTATAAATACCATTGCCTTTCTGTAAATGAACTAATCTAGGAGTAAAGCGTTCTTCCCATATTTCACGCCTTTTCTCTCGCGTTGAGGTTGTGTAGATTTACCCTGGGGTTACTTAGAGAGCTTAGGAAACCAATTCAATCAAAATACTTATCAGTCACTTTTGAAAATAAGTTTTGATTTGAGTAAATGAGAATTTTGCTTTTACATTTTCGTAGTCTACAATAGTATTATGTAACCGTATTTTGTTCATAGACGGGTTTTCGGTATCGTTATACAGTTATTGAAAATTACAGTCAGTTGTTAGACAATTTATATCACCTCAGGCATAAATAATGTGATTTAGAATAGATTCAAATCACAATTATAAGATAACCTTAAGACTCAAGATTTGTAGCGATAAATGTTGAACCCATCTGAGTCATTTCATACGTCTTAACTGAATTGGTTAAGTGAATCGGCTGAACTCTAACCACGTAGTCTGGATGTACCAAGATAGTTCAGGTCAGAGATCACTGATACTATGATGTGATGTCCTGTTGACTTAGATACTGGCACTTGTGTTAACGTTATGGGATTTTTATGTATGATCGGAGTATAGACACCGGTAGTGTACTCTGTTTTAACATAGAAAGTAATACTATGATGAGTTTCGGATATTTCGCTAGTCAGGTTTTAGGTGTTATGATTCACTAATGTCTGTTTCCTCCTTATTTTAATAGTCCAGTTAGTCTAATGGTTCATATTTTTTATACGCAAACAGTCTGTTATAATTGACCAATTTCATTATAAACATGATCTTCATTTCCGGTTTGTAATTGTGACAATACAACTTGTGTTTTTGCTTAAATGGTTTAGAAAGCGTTTATAGTCACACAACTTGGTCTCCCCCTGAGTTATATCATAGCGTATATTGTTACTTGACTAAAAAGTATGGAATTAATCTATCTTGATCAAGAACTTTTTTATTGTTAGATCAACAATTGATTCGAATTTCGTTCATGAATCCTGAGACACTTAGTAGAATGGACGATTATTTCAATAATCAATCTTACGTTTTTAACCGATTTTATTTAAGTTTTTTCTCTATTCATATCACATCCCAGTCAACAGTAGCTGAGCGAAAATCTCAAGCCATCTAAAACTCTTATTACAATCAAATGCACTAACTAATCACCAATGTGGGACCATCAAGTAATGCATTAGAATGTTGCATCTTATTATCATACACTTGATAAACAAGCATATTGACTACATATTGTCATAACGATACAATTCAACCAATCTGAACAAACACACCTGACTAGTGGTCACATTTACATGTGTGAGCTACCGATCAGTAAAGCATGGTTACTTAGTTATTGTTAGTGTAAATATTACCTGCTACACTGATATTTATGTGTTATTATTTTTAGTTAATGTGCCAAATAGACCAAAAAAGTGTTTACTTAAAAATATCACACGAGAACATAAACATTATAGTTGTATCTGTTTAAAACTATCACTAATAAATGTTCGAATCTTACATTGAAAGTAAATCCATGTCTCTTAATTGAAATGCAATCAATAGTTTAATTTTACAGAGTTCTAGCTTCACAGAAAGATTTAGTGAAACTATGCTTTTGGAAAAGGTCAATCTAACTTAAAGGTTAAGAAGTGCTGATCAGTGACCGAATTCCAACTACTTTCACTTTCAGGATGTTTAATTAGGAAAACTAGTTTGTGATTGTAAATACAAAATAATGAATCAACGCTATAAAAGTAAACGGAAATATTAACAAATCAAGAATAGGTAGCTTATTTGTTTAATTACAGTACAGTTTTGAAACATGGAATAAAATTCCTTAAAAACACCATTTAAAAAAAAGAGGATCGAAATCTTATCATCACTAATTTAGACAGTTGTAGAACATACAGAAGTGCCTTCTCAGCTTTGTATTCAATCACATGATGGTTATTGACAGATGTATTTTTAAAGAACTTACAAGTAAAGTACACAGCAACAACGCATTTTAATACTTATATGAAAGTCTCAGTCAGTCAGTAACAATGTAGAACTTCGTACGTACGTACAACAGTTTGAGTTGCCATACCACATTAGTAAAGAGATGCAGTTGTCGATTCAAATCCCGTAGTAGTAGAGGTAAAAAGAGTATAAGCAGTAATCGGAAAGATTAGGGTTTGAAGATGTTATTTAAAGAGTATAATTCAGTGAAATAAATTTGGGAAGAGAAAAAAGAGACAAGGAGGATTCAGGAGATTAAAATTTGGGAGAACACAAAGAGTGGATGCACCTGCGCCATTGCAAACGATTTTGAGCCATGTCATTCAAGGTCTCTAACCATATGAAAGTCTACAAAGAATAGAGATTTGAAATTGCATGAATGATTTCCTATGCATTATACGTTTCGATTCTAATACAAGGAACTTAAAGAAAAATTATTCATGTTTAAAAGAGTATAATAATTTTCTAAAAATAAGCTCATTTACTTGATTTCAAGTCAAACTGTAAGTGTGAGGGTTACTTATACAAGCCAGTTGAATAAACCTATATAGATGTAGTTATATTCAAACTAGGAATTTCCTAGATCGAAAGTTGAACATATTAACCCATAAACAATCATCACGTACAAAAGTGACAATATATCCACTCTTATTGTATTCCCTGATTAGCTTATAAAACTTATAGGGATTTCTCAAGTTCACTGATGATTTTAGTGTTATTACATGTTTTAATTTGGAGCATTACTTTTAATATATTCCTTCCATCGTTACTTACTTACGCCTGTTACTATTCGTCAAGGAGCATAGGCACACCACCAGAATTCTCTATCCAACCCTGTCCTGGACAATCCTTTCCAGTTCCTATTCATCCTTTTCATATCTGCTTCTATTATTCGACGTAATGTGTTCTTTGGCCTTCATCTCTTCCGCTTACCTTCACCATTCCGAGTTAGGGCTTGCCTCGTGATGCAGTTTGATGATTTGCGCAATGTATATCCTAACAACTTCCATCGTCTTCTACTAATTTCTTCTTCAGCTGGAAGCTGGTTTGTTCTCTCCCACAGAAGGCTGTTGCTGATGGTATCCGGCCAATGGATGTTGAGTATCTTGCGTAGACAACTATTTATAAATACTTGTACCTTCTTGATGTTGGCTGTAGTAGTTCTCCAAGTTTCAGCTCCGTACAGTAGAACTGAGTGTCTTGACGTTCGTACTGAAGATTCTCACTTTGATATTGGTTGACAGACAGTTGTTTTGAGTTCCATATGTTCTTCAATTGTAGGAATGCGGCCCTGGCTTTGCCAATCCTGTCCTTTACGTCTGCATCTGAACCTCCTTGTTCATCGATGATGCTTCCCAGGTATGTGAAGAATTCTACATCTTTCAGAGTTTCGCCATCATATCAGGGTTATTATATATGAGAAAATAAACAAATATTTATTTACATTATTATTTTTTTTAATGTAATAAATTAGTAAATAAATAAAATAAAGTACAAATTTTTCTGTATTAATGAGGTGTAAAATATATAAGTCAATTGATAAAGTCAACAACAACAAAAAAAGAAGAAACAAACAAACAAACATTAAATACATAATTGATTAACTAATTAAACATTGAACATTCGTTTCTTTGTTGTTTAAAACAAGAACTATTTTTTTTACCGCCATTTTACTAAATATAAATCAATATCATCACTGGTATTATTTCATAAATGATAAATGAATAGATGATTGAAATGTATTCTGATGAGAACAATCATCATCATTATCATCATACACACACACACACATGATAAGATAGAAGAAACCAAAGAAAAGAAAACGAAGAAAAAAGAAAGAAATAAAAGTCAATAAGAAAAACAAAAAGAGAAAACATTTGATTCAATAAACTAATAAAAATATATTCAATAAATATACAACATTATTCAATGAGTTAATTATAAAATAAAATAGATATAGACATTAGATAAGATAAAAGAATAAGTAAAACAGTATAAGAATGAATATAATAAAAGAATAAATAGCTACTTTATATATTCAATGTTTAGTTTAGATAAAACAAACACAAATATTGGTAGGGATAGAAAAACAAAACAAAACAGAAAAAAAATTGAAAAAATAATCAATTATTTACGAATTGTCCATCTGAGAAATTCATTTCTTCTTTGAGATTGATTAAAATGAGATGAGGAATGATTTTTATCTAATACAGTACGTTGAAACCAATTTGATGAAGAATCATGTTTGTTAAAACTAAGTCGATGTGATTGTTTATCTAAAAAAAATATATATATATATAATAGGTAATATATAGATATGTAAATGGATCAAGGTAAAAAGAGATGTTTTATTAAATACACATGCATTTTACATTCACATATACACACACACGCACATAGTAACAAAAAGGAAACAAAACCTATTTACT